CCTCTCCCGCCTTCCCTGCTGCTTCCTAACCCCTGCCACGGCACCCACGGGGCTTCCCACGGCACTAACCCTGCTGGAAGATGCACCCTGGAGCCCTCCTGCTCCTGCTCCCCCAGGATCAGGGCTAAAAGCAAGGAGGGGGAGAGATCCCAGAGCATCTCCGACCCCAAGACCTGGGGACCACCGAGAGTTTCTTAAATCTCACCAAAAAGCCAGGGCTCTCCTGGGTTTCATCCCCCACAATGGGGGATTTTAAATATATATATATATTTAGACATTTGGGAATGTTTGCAGCAGCGCCCCCAAAAGCAGAGCTTGTGCTGGAATTCCTTGGATTCGTTCGATCTGGCTCAGCCTTCCCAAAAACCGCGCAGGATAAATTTTTGGGTGGGCTTGTTCCAGGGTGCATCTCGACTCCAGCAAGTTTTGACTGATTAATTCACTAACTGGGTCCTCCCCTTGCTCTTGGCAGGGCCTTGTCTTTAATCATCCCCCCCCCAAAAATCAGCATTTCCCAAGGAGCTTTTCTCCTGCTCCCACCGCCCGGAGGAGGCAGGACCCGGTGGTGGCAGGTTGGAGTGGGGGATGAGGGGGGATTTTTATGGGGGTTGTTTTCTTTTTTGGGAGGGTTGGGGGGGAGATTCTGCCTCACCTGAGAGAACATTTCACCTCTGTTTCCCCCTCAGGAAAGAGGGCCTCCACCTGGAGCTTTGCGTTCTGATTCCTCCCCGAATGGTTCAGACATGGATCGCAGGTAAACGGCCCCAAAAGGGCTCTCCCCACCCTCTCCCCCATCCCTGGGGGGGGACACAGGGATGTGTTATTTTTGGGATAACCCACCAGGTGATGCTCCTGGCAGGGCATCACCTTCTCCAGCCAGTTAGCACCACCCCAAACATGCAGGTTGATTCCCACCCCAATCCCTCCGGATCTGGGGTGGTTTCGTTGCCAAACAGGTTGTTGGGAGCGGGGTTGCATCAGAGGAGCCGTAAAAACACTGCTGAGAAACAGCCACAGGGATTTTTGGGATAGGAGGTGTCTCCAAATCCAGGAGTTTGGGGTTATTCCCTGCAGATAAAAGGCATAATATCAGTTTTAGTTAATTAATTTATTGGCGGTGGCGCCACGCGGGGTGTTTTCCTGAGGGTCCCCAGGGTGGTTTTGGGATGGATTTTGCCTCTGAAATTTCCATGCATCCAACATTTTGACTCCAGAATTTCTGTGAATACGCTTTTTTTTTCTCCAAAATTTCCGTGCATCCAACACTTTGACTCCAAAATTCCTGTTCATCCAACATTTTAGCTCCAAAACTTCCACGTATTCAATACTTTGACTCCAAAATCTCCATGCACCCAATACTTTGACTCCAAAATTCCTGTTTATCCAATACTTTGACTCCACAATATCCATGCATCCAACATTTTGACTCCAAAATTCCTGTTCATCCAACATTTTGACTCCAAAACTTCCACCTATCCAACATTTTTGACTCCACAATATCCATGCCTCCAATACATTGACTCCAAAATTCCTGTTCATCCAACATTTGGACTCCAAAACTTCCATGCATCCAATACTTTGACTCCAAAATTTCCATGCCTGCAATATTTTGACTCCAAAATCTCTGTGCATCCAACATTTTGACTCCAAAATTCCTGTTCATCCAATATTTTGACTCCACAGTATCTACGTATGCAATACTTTGACTCCGAAATAACTGTGCATCCAACATTTGGACTCCAAAACTTCCACGTATCCAATACTCTGACTCCAAAATCTCCGTGCATCCCACACTCTGATGGCTTTGGCTGCTGACTCCCCTCTCTCCTCCTCACATTCCACTCCCCCTCGAGATTTCCTGCCCATCACCCGGAGCGTTTCCTGAGGGTCTGGGCGTGGATTCGGGAAGCGGGAGGGGGATCAATCAACACTGATTCCCGTCTCTCCTCCTCATTCCCAGTATTACCCTCCACCTGAAGATTTCCTGCCCGTCCTCTCCTGCCTTTAACTACTCGCGGAGCCCGATCTGTGCCGTGCCCCAGGTGAAGATCGAGATGGAGTCGGATTACGAGGACACGGACACGGAGAAGGCCCCCGGGACATGGGCAGTGAGACCACGTTGTAGCCCCCCTAGCCCCGGAGGTTTTTATATATATATATATATATATATAAACATCTGCAGATCCAGATATATATATATATAAAGGAAATGGGGCTTATTTTTCGATGGCAGACTGGAGGCCCCAGGGGTTTTGCTCTGGGGGGGGGGAATTGTGTGTGTGTGTGTTTTAGTGGTGTGAGGTGTTGGGTTCCCAACCCTTCCCGCTGGGAAACGGGGCTGGAAAGGTGGAGCAGCTGGAGGGGGTTGGGATGTGGGAGCATGGAGGAAAAGGGGGTGATGTTGGTTTTTTTTTGGGGGGGGGGGGTGAGTGGCTGAGGGGGATTTGGCCCTGCTCCCAAATCCCTGGAATCACAACGTGGCTCTTGGGGAGGCTTGTTTTGGGAAGGGGAGGAGGGGGGTGTTGGCAGGAGGGTGCTGGTCCAAGGGGGTGGGGTCCTTCCCGTGGGATCCCAGGTGTGGTGGGAGCGTCCAGGGGGACCTGGATCTGCTGGGATTGGGTGGAGGAGGAGGAGGAGGAGGAAGAGGAGGCACAGCAGGATGGAGCTCCAGGGAGGGAAGGGAAGGAGGAGAAGCAGCTCAGGGTGAAGGTTGTTGCCACTTGAGGGCGACAACAACGAGGCTGTGGAGCGAGAGCAGGGCAGGGAATGGGGCCTTGGTTTCTGCAGGAAATTGGGAATGGTTTCTGTAGGAATCAGGAATGATTTCTGTAGGGAAATAGGAATGGTTTCTGTAGGGAAATAGGAATGGTTTCTGTAGGGAAATAGGAATGGTTTCTGTATGAAAGAGGACTGGTTTCTGTAGGAATCAGGAATGATTTCTGTAGGGAATCAGGAATGGTTTCTGTAGGGAATCAGGAATGGTTTCTGTAGGAATCAGGAATAGGTTCTGTAGGAATCAGGAATAGGTTCTGTAGGCTGCTGGGAATGGTTTCTGCAGGGCAATGGGAACAGTGGCTGCAGTGAAGCCCTTGGGTGACCCATCCCCATGTCCTCACCACGGCTCTCCAGGGCCACCCCCAGCCCAGGAACAGCCCCATCCCATCCTCTGGGTGGGAGTGAGACATTCCCAAGCCGTGCTCTCACTGGAGGAATTCTCCCACTGGAGGAATTCAAGGATTCTCTGCTGCCCAGCCCTGTCCAAGGGGCTTCACTCCCACTTCAGCTCCTCCATCCTGGTCATTCCCAGCGGTTTCACAGCCGGTGGCCGGAACAGGGAGGGGAGAACAAGCACCTGGAGCAGGGAGGGCAGAGCCAGGACATCCCCCCTGTGCTCCAGGCTCACAGCCAGCACCTCCCTGCTGGGTGTCCATCGGCATTTCAGCTCCACAACAGGCTCTTCCCACCCCCTGCCGCCTCTGGAGCCTCTGGGAGAGGAAGGGAAGGGAGCAGGTTTGGAGCCAGGGAGGCTCCCAGCTCCCTTTGGCTCTGCCCAGCTCCCACACCTTTTTTCCAGCAGCACCAGGGCAGTGCTGAGGCTTTCCAGAATTTTTTCCCTCCACAGACCAAGCCCAAACTCTGCTCTGAAACAACCCTCAAATCTGCTTCTTTCCCTTTTTTTTTTATTTTTCCTAGTCGAATTCTGTAATTTTATTTTCTCTCTTTCCAACCTCCCAGAGCCCCAAACCCCTTCCCCACCAGCAGGACCACCCTGCCTGAGATTTTCACCAGCACTTACTGGGGTTTCTGGACCACCAGTTTAAATATTGCAACTGGTCTGAACCTTTGTGTGGGACAGATCCCTGTAAATAGTCGAAGCCAACAGAGACTTGAAGGCAATTTCCTATTTATAGCAGGTTTTTTTTCTGGTTCAGGTGCATCTCCCGGGGACAGGGGGTGAGAGAAATAACACAGTGTTACCCTATCACCACTTCAGTGTTAATGAACAGTCAGAACCGTTTCAACTTGAAGGCACTGTGTCTGTTTTGTAGCATTTTTTGTACCAATCCTGTGCGGTAGAAGCGTCGTAGGTTTATGATTTTAATCGACCGGGTTAATTCGCTTTATCCAGCCCCTCAGCTCTATTTCCACCAGCCCTGGACAGGCTTCCTGGACTCTGGTAGCTGGTCCACAGGGCAGAGCTGAAGCCACTGTAGAACCCAGCTTGGCTTTGGCTCACTTTGTCTCTGTTTTGCACCGTGGTTTCTACTTTTTTGTAAGGAGCGAACGGAGCGTCCGAGATCCGACACCCCCAGCCCGGGCCCACTGTCACATTTTGTATTTCTTGGAGAAAACCCAATAAAAACCTGGTTTCAATGAGTCTCAGCTCTCAGTGTGTTTCTGCTGCAGAGCCCCTGAACCCCAAATTTCAGCCCCTCACCCCTCCAGGAGAGGGGGTTTGGCACCAGCCCAACCGGTACCTCCAGCCCGGTAAAGGTTGGAAAAGCCTCCAAGCTCAGGTCCAACCGATGGCATCACAACATTCCTGCCCTCAGGAAGGTGGGATCAGTCACTCCAGGGAATATGTGAAGAGGAAAAGAGTCCAAGATTCCCCTCACTGCCCATGGATGATCCTGCAAGGAGGAGGTTCTTCCACCCTGCTCGAGGCATCCCCTCAGGTAAGGTCGATGTTCCCAGGACTAATTAGAGCTTGAAAACACCCTCCATGCTGTGATGTGGATTTAGGTGAGAAATGAGACTCAGGGAGCTGAGCAGGTCCTGTTCAGGCTTGAAAGGGAGAGGTTTGCTTACTTTTAAGGCCAGTTGGTGCTGGTGGAGCAGCTGTGTCCCAGGTAAGCTCTGGGTGGGAGCCAGACCTCCCCCCTGCTCTGGGGAATAGCTCACCCCTCAAGTGCTCTGAAAACAATTAGTGCAGCTCTTCTGGAAGTGAAATAGTTGATTAGTAATAATTCCAGGGCACAAACAGGGATTTTTTTTCCTGTCTCCTCACACTTTATTTAGTTAGCCTGCATTACTCACTAATTACACACCTCACACACAGCCCAGGGAACCTCCTGCGTGCCCCCTTTGTGGGCACCAAACCCTCCCCGCTCTGTTCTTTGGTTAGAAAAAAAAGGCTTTTTTAAAAAAAATTCACCAACCAAACAGCAAAAACAAAAAAGCAAACCCCAGCTTAGGTGCACACTCAAACATGTTACAACAGCTCTGCCACTGCCCAGGGCCCTGCCCGGCCCCACAGCACAAATACGGCTCCATTTGCAATTTTTCAAGTCACTTCTTCTACAGAAGAGCTCGAACTAAACATCCCAGCATCGAGCAGGAGACCAGCACAGGCCACACACTGCAGATGTGCGAGAACAGAACCATCCAGGCTTTTTGTACCACGCAGCAAATCCCAAGCGATTGCCGAGCGAGCTCCCGGGAAAGCTGCATTCCCAGGATCCCAAATCCCTGCAGGGAGCAGGGCTGGCTCACACACAGAGCAGCTTTACAAGCAGCAGGAGCACAGGAGTGTAGATTGACACACCTCAGGACCACCAAGATGCAGCTGCTTCAGCTTCCAATAAATACCTGCGGCCTCCGGGTGGGGAAAATTCCCCATTCCGAGACAATAAATAAAAAAATATTGCATTTTCTATCGGCCTGTTCGGGAGTCAAGTTTGGAATGTTGTTTTCAGTGCTACAAGGGAGAAGGATGGCCCAGGTCAAGCAGTCAGTGCTTCCAGCTCTTTGGGTTTCAGCAGCTTCTTGGCAGCGATGATGGTGTTTTTCATCAGCATGGCCACGGTCATGGGCCCCACCCCGCCCGGCACTGGGGTGATGTAGCTGGCCTTCTTCCTCACCCCTGGGGAGGGAAGGCACAGCTCAGCAGCAAAATCAACAGCAGCAACAATCCCCAGTCTAAAAAAACCCACCCTCCAGATTCCTTCAGGATCAGCGTTCAGGAGTTTCCCCACAGGGACTTTTCCCCCGTTATCCAACCCCGCTCTCTCCGTCCCTGCTGCTCTAACCCAGCCCAACCGCTGGGGAACAGCTCAAAGCAAGGACTAAAGGGTCTAAAGGCAGGTCTAAAAGCTGGTTGCTAGCACAGAAATGTCAAATCCAAGCCTAGGTGTGGCCTCGATGTTGGTAATTCATCAATCTGGGCATTCATCCTCTTTTTCTTCCAGGAGGAAATTCCAGGGTCTTTCCCTGGGCTCATCCCAACAGCTCCTGGAGGAGCAAGGTCAGGGAATACAGGGCAGGAGGTAAGTTCTGCATGGCTTTATTTTAAAAGAAGCTTTGGAATAGAGGCAAAGTGACCCAAAAGGGTGAGTTCTCCTCTGCAGCTTTCCCATGGCACGTCCTGGGATAGCATGGAACAATATTGGATGAACCAGGAACCTGAACCAGGAGTTTCCCCCTCTTCTCAGCACCCAAGTACTCCAGAATCCACACCCAGAGCCTTTCCATACCTTCAAAATCCACGTCCCCAACCAGCCTGGACTTGGCAGTAATGGGATCCTGCACTCTGGTGATTCCCACATCAATCACTGCAGCTCCTTCTTTGATCATGTCAGCTGTGATCAGGTTGGGAATGCCTGGAAAAAACACACAACAACCCACTCAGGGGTGTTAAACAGCCCCACTCCCTGCTCCTCCTCACCCACATTCCCAGCATGTTCTGACCCACCTGGGCCTTCCTGTCCCACCAAACCAGCTGGACTCAATAATCCTCAGGATCTTATCCCATGAAATGCTGGAAAAGAGGAGGTCAGACCTCACTGGGGTCTTCGACATCCTCCTGAGGGGCAGCTCCAATCTCTGCTCTCTGTGAGCAGGGACAGGACCCTGGAACAGCTGGAGCTGTGTCAGAGCAGGCTCAGGTTGGACCTCAGGGAAAGGTTCTTCCCCCAGAGGGTGGTTGGCACTGAACAGGCTCCCCAAGGTTTGGTCACAGCCCCCCAAACCTGCCAGAGCTCAGGGGTTGTTCAGACAACACCCTCAGGCACAGGGTGGGGTTGTTGGGGTGTCTGTGCAGGGCCAGGAGCTGCACTTGATGATCCTGATGGGTCCCTTCCAACTCATTACAGTCTCTGATTCCATGCTGCTCTTTAGGGTCTGATCAGGTGCAACGGGCAGGCCAAGCCCCTCCTGCCAGGTGCCATTTCCCATTTCAAAGGCACAAACAGCTCTGCTGGGAACACCCACCCTGCTGCTCCTGCACAGGATGAACCGGCCCAGCAGCCCCTGGGAGCACCAGGCTCTCCCACGCTGCCAGAGAGGCTCCAGGACATTCCATATGCCAAGAATTCCCACCAGGAGCACCCTCAGTGCCACCAGCCAGGCCCTACCTGCTGCTGCCACCACGATGTCCGCACGGATCGTGTGCTGCTTCAGCTGCTCCTTGGGGGTGTAGCGGTGGGAGATGGTGACTGTGGCATCACCTGGGAGAGTTGATTCCATTGAGATTTAGTTCCCAAACCCAGCCAGTCCTCTCTGCATCTTCCCCTTCAAGACCACCCCTGTGTTTAGCAGGAACATCAGGGCCTGCTGACAAACCCCGGGGAGGTGGAGTCAGAGAGGAGGATTTGGGATGGAAGGGGACAAGGATTTGCTGAAGGAGGCTCCAAAATGTCTCAGGGAAGACCTTGTTGGTCTCTACAACTCCCTGACAGGAGGCTGGAGCCAGCTGGGGGTTGGGCTCTGCTCCCAGGGAACAAGGGACAGAATGAGGGGAAACAGGAAGGGGAAGTTTAGGTTGGATATTGGGGAAATTCCTTCAAGGAAAGGGTTGTTAAACACTGGAACAGGCTGCCCAGAGAAATGGTGGAGTCACCATCCCTGGAAGTGTTCAAAAAACATGTAGATGTGGCACTCGAGGACATGGTTTAGTGGTGAACATGATGCTGGTTGGACTTGACCACCCTAAAGATCTTTTCCAACCTTAACAATTTTAAGACCATGTGCAGAATTAACCCCCCCAGCCTTGGCCAGATCCCTGAGGAAGCCCTGGGATGGCTCCAGGAGCCTGAGGAGGGCAGTGGGACAGGTCTCCTACCCCCAGGCCGCTCGTGTTTGCCGTCGGTGTGGAGCAGCATCGCGATGGGCATCCCCACGTTCTTCGACCTCCCGGCCACCACCACATTCTTGCCCAGCGTTGGGATCCCTGCAGAGGGCAAGATCAGAGGATCATGGAGTATCCTGAGCTGGAAGGGACCCAGCAGCACCATGGATGCAACTCCTGGCCTTGCACAGACACCCCAACAATCCCACCCTGTCCCTGAGAGCGTTGTCCAAACCCTCCTGGAGCTCTGGCAGCCTTGGGGCTGTGCCCACTGCCCTGGGGAGCCTGTTCAGTGCCAACCACCCTCTGAGGGAAGAACCTTTCCCTGAGATCCACCCTAAGCCTGCCCTGGCACAGCTCCAGCCATTCCAGGATCCTGCCCTGGCCCAACCCACGAGCCAGTTCCTCTCCACCCCGTAACAACAATGCCCAGCTGGGAATCCTAAACCAGACACACCAGCTGGAATTCTGCTGGACAGCAGCCCCACCCTGCAGGAGCAGCAGCTCTTCCCAGCTCTCTGGATGATCTTACCAGTCCTCTTGATGATCTCCCAGACTCCCCAGGGGGTGGCAGGTAACATGGAGTCCTGGTCCAGGCACATGCGGCCCACGTTGATCACGTGGAAGCCGTCGACGTCCTTGTCGGGGCTGACGGCGTTGCAGACCCTGCGCTCGTCGATGTGTCCTGGGGGGACAGACGGGGGGGGCTCAGCCTGGAACCTGCTCTGGGCACCCAGGCACAGCCTGGGCTCCAGCTCTGAGCCCCAGCCCCGAGCCAGACTCAGCTCTGAGCCTGAGTTAGATCTGAGCCCCAGCCCTGAGCTTGAGCTCTGAGCCCACAGCACCAACCCCTTCAAAATTTGGAGGCTTTGAGGCTCCTCAGCACTTCCAGCTCAAAGCTCCCAGCAGAGAGGGACTGGCAGCACTTTGGAATCACAGCCTTGCTGGTGCTGAGGGTATTTTTAGGCAGCCTCGAGGCCACAGCTGAGTTCAAGTTGATACTGGAAGCTGATACTCCCAGCACAGGAATAGATCCTGTGACCCCCGCCCAGAAACCAAACTCCTGCAAGCAGATGGTGCTGAGGAGCTGCAGGGACATCTCAAAACTCCACCAGGGCAGGATCCCACCCCTCATGGCACAGGATTGTCCTTCCAGCACATGGAAACCCTTAAAAACTTCCTGTAGGACGGAAAGAGGTGGAAGTTCAGCTCCTCACCAGGCAGGGGGAGCTGCACCAACAGCCCATCCACGTTGGCATCGTTGTTGAGTTTGCTGATCAAATCCAGCAGCTCCTCCTCAGTGATGGAAGCTGGTCTGAGGATGGTCTCACTGCTGATCCCTGGAAATCATCCCAAACACCTCATTAGTGAGCCCAGGCTGTGCACAAGGCAGCAACGTTCCTGATCTTTGTGGATTTAAGCCCCTAAAATGTCACTGCTCTACCAAATCCCAGAAGTGCCCAGGAGGAAGGAGATGTCAGCCTAAACATCTCAGCTCCAAAAATCTCCAATCAAAAATAATTAAAAAAAATAAATCTCTCAGCAGTGCAGAACCCAAGTTAAAATAAATAACACCATTTCTTGCCCCCAACCCTGAGCAGCACCTTGGATTGCAAGCTGGGAAGGAGTCAGAGCAGTGAGGCTGAACTCTGACTCCTGAGGTGAGGAAAGGAGGCCAAAAAACGCCCTTCCTGTGCTTTTTATGGCTCTGGCAAGGCTGCAAATCCCAAGCACTGAGCTTGATGTTGTCCTGAAGGATCCCAATGCCACATGGACAGCGTTTCCCAGGTGGAGGGGGAGGTGAAAAGCCACCAAACACCTTCATCCCAAAAAGCTTCCCCTGGAGGATTCCAACCCCAAACCCCCCTTTATTTGGGCAGGGAGCCCCCACCATACCCACGTCAGCCGCTGCCTTGGTCTTGTTGAGGACGTAGGAGTGGCTGGCCGGGTTCTCCCCGACCAGCACCACGCTCAGGTGGGGCCGCTTGTTCCCCGCCGCCACCCACTGCTCCACCTCGTGCCGGGCTTCCTGCCGGATCTGCCGGGCCAGCTTCCTCCCCGAGATCACCACAGCCTCACCTCTGCAAGGGGGGAAGAGGCCACCACACCATCAGCACCCTCAGCACCGGCACCTCCCAGCTTTGGGACAGGAAAACTGGGAGCTGACTGCAGGCTCCGTTTCCCCTGAGCTCTGTACTTTGGTTTTTTGGAGGTTTGTTGGGTTTGTTTTGGGTTTTTTAATCTGCAGAAACTCCCAACTCCTGAAGTTACTTTTCAGCCTTTCCCAGCCCTCCCACATCCCTGGATCTCTGCCTGTCCTCCCTCCCCAGCACCAGCCAGGGGTCAGACCTACCCTGTGCCAGCAGAGCTCCCTGTGCTCCCCAGCTTTAACAGCTTTGTCGAGCTCCCAGTCCCATGAAAAGCACAGGAAAATCCTGTCTCCAAGGCCTCTCTCCCTGCTCAGGGACCCCAGGGAGCAGGATCCACCAGGAGTTGGGTCCATGATCCTCGTGGGTCCCTTCCAGCTCAGGATATTCCATGATTTAAGTCTTTCTGCAAGGCCTCCTAACCCTACCCTCAGATCCAGAGCAGGCACAGATGCTCCTCAGCATTCCTGGTGCCTCCCCAAATTGCCGGAACCAGCCCATTCCTGAAGCAATTCCCAGACAATCTCCATCACAACCCACTCCACTTTCCCCAGGAACTCAGAGACAGCTGAGCCACAAGCCCACCAGCACCAAGAGCACCCTCCCTGCACCTCAACATTCACCAGAAAGAGCTGAATTCCTGCAGTTTCTCCTCAAAAATCCCTCAGCTGCCTCATGGACAGATCTTCCCCTGCCAGGATCCTGCACTGAGTCCAACAGTGCTTGTTTTCTGACCTTCTCCAGGTACAATCCTGGAGCTCTGGGAGCAGCTGGAACCAGGGAAAACCACTCCCAGAACTGCTGAAACTCGAAGTTTTCCCCATTTCCTGGGAATTAAGTGTTACTTCATCCCTACCTGCAACCACCCCAGTCAAACCCATTTAACCAACCAGTCCCAGCCCACTGGGTCTCTAATTCTTGGTCCAGCTTCAGAGCTAAACCCCTGCCAAACTACCAGACGTTGATTTGGATGTCAAAGGGATTGTGACAAGTGCCTGGCAAGCCAGGGAAGGGAAAATTCCTTAAACCAGAGGCAAAACCTACCTTGGATCTTCCCTGAGATTGGGGTGCTCTGGGCTCTCAGGGAGGGGGAGAAGCGCCAGTGCCTGGGGGAGCTACGGGGGAGGACAAAGAGGGAGCTCAGAGCAGGGTGGGCTGGTCGGGGGTCTCTGTCCCCCTCACACCGCTTAAATCCAGGGGCAATGCCCGAGGGACACTCAGGAGTCTCTGTCCCTCTCGGCCCGGGGGATGCCTGGGGGTCTCTGTCCCTCTCGGTCCGGGGGATGCCTGGGGGTCTCTGCCCCTCTCGGCCCGGGGGATGCTCAGGGGGTCTCTGCCCCTCTCACACCGTTTAAATCCCGATCCTGGGGAACGGCTCAGGGGGCTGTGCCCCTGCTCGCCCCGGGGGATGCCCGGGGGGTCTCCATCCCCCGCACCCCGCGGGACACCCGTGTCCACCCGCGCACCCCCACGCAAGGCGGGCGCGGGATTTCATCAGCCTGCTGGGAAGGAGGAACTCCCCTCCCCAGTCCCAGCGTGTGTGAAGGTTCAGGTGGCCCGGAGTGCCCAGCTCTGCTGCTCACACTCACTCAGTGCCCTCCCCAGTGCCCCCTGGGGTGCCCCCCGGCCCCCAGCCCCCTCACCTGGTTGACCATCTGGTGCTGCTGCACCGTCCTCTTCTCCCTGAACTCCTCAGACTCGATGTGGATCTCGTACATGGCCCCGCAGCCCCCTGAGGGATGACACGGGCACCAAATCCTCCAGCACAGGGAGGGACAGCTGAGCCCCCACAGCCCCCGCCAGGGGTCTGGGACAGGCCCTGCTCCTCCCCGGGGTAACGGGAGAGGGGAGGAGGAGGAGGAGGACGAGGGGCTTTACCTGAGATGTCCACGACCTTGATGGAGGAGGCCCTGGGGAACCTCTCCCGCAGCACCCGCGTCAGGCGCGACTCCCCCTCGGAGCCGGAGCTGAGGCTGCGCCAGGAGCGGCAGCGCAGGAACAGCTGGGGGGGGACAGTGATGGGGGGCTCTGGGAGACCCCAAACACACACACAGGGGATGGGGAGACCCTGGAGAGATCCCAAACACACACACAGGGAATGGGGAGACCATGGAGAGACCCCAAACACACACACACGGGCTGAGGGTGGCAGTGGGTGGGGGGCTGTCTGTGCCAGGAGGGAAGGGAAGGTTTGGGAAGGCAAGGCAAGGGAAGGCTGCTGGCACAGGCTGGGTGGGAGGCACCGGGAGACGGGGAAAACTGAGGGATGGAGGAACGGCAGTGGGGGAAGGTGGGATGAAATGGGGGCTGCCTTCACTGGCATGGCGGAGAGGGGGGACTGGAGTTGGGGGGAAACCAGAGGAGGGGAACCGGGGGGAAGAGGAGGGATGGAAACGGGGCCGGCAGCGGCGGGGACACGGACAGGGACAGACACGGACACACAGGGACAGACGGACACAGGGACAGACGGACACAGGGAAAGCCAAGGAAAAGGGACGGACAGATGGACACAGGGACAGACGGACACAGGGACAGACGGACACAGGGACAGACGGACACACTCACCGGGCCCCGGCCCAGCCCCGCCGCCATCCCGGGGCGCGCGCCGGGGTCACCCCGCGCCTCAGCCCCTGCACCGCCGAGCGCCCCCTGGCGGCTCGGAGGACCCCGGAGGAGGGAACCCGATCCTTCCTCCCCCCCCCATCCCAAAAAAACCGGCCCCATCCTGCCCCCCTCCTCCCCATTCCCAAAACGTCCCATCCTGCCCCTCCCCGATAGAGGGAGCGCCAACCTGACCTCCTTGTTTCCACACCGAGCCCCAGCTCCCCACACACACACACCGGGCCCCATCCTGCTCCCCCATTCCCATAAGGAAAGTCCCGCCCTGCCCCCCTCCCAGACAGGGCCCCATCCTGCCCCCCTAACCCCTCTCCAGAACCCCATCCCAAAGAGAGCTCCATCCTGCCCTTCTATCCCACCCCCTCCAAATCCTGCCCCTCCCACTGGGCCCAATCCTGTCCCCCACTCCCACCCCAACCCTTATCCAGAGCCCCATCCCACCCCCATCCCAATATCCAGGGCCCCATCCTTTCCCCTGTTCCCAAAAAGGCTCCATCCTGCCCTTCTATCCCATCCCCTCTCCCCAAATCCTGCCCCTCTCCCTCAACTGGGCCTGATCCTTTCCCCCATTCCCATATCCAGTGCCCCATCCTGACCCTCCATCCCAAAGACCCTCACCCTGCCCCCCATTCCCATATCCAGCCCCTCATCCTGCCCCCCATTCCCACACCGCATCCCAATCCCCCCTCCCCGCCCACTCCCGCCCCATTCCATCCGGGAACACAAAACCGTGGAGGAGCCGCGTGTTGAGTGCAAAAAATAAATATAAAATTTATTAAAACACCCACAATATTTTAAAGATATCAGGAATAATACAGCCCGCGGCCCCGCGGCCGCGCCAACTCAGAATAAAATACAAATTAAAAAAAAAAAAACCAACAAAAACAACAACAGAACAAAAATTAAACAAAACAAAACAAAACAAAAAAAAAAATAAAAAAAAAATAAAAGAAAACCAAAACCACGGGGAGGGAAGGGGAGGATCCAAACTTGCAATTTTTAGGCATCCTAAAAAATAAATTTACCGAAACACTGGGGAAAAGAAAAGAGGGTTAAGGGGAAATAAAACAACACAAAGAGGGGGGGGGGGGGAAGAAAGGGGGGAAAATTATACAAAATAAAATTATCAGCATAAATTTACTGTCCTAGAAGTATCTACAGTTTAATACACATTAATCCTATTGCCTTGAGACATGGGAAAAAAAATCTACCGGTCCTCGATCCGCCCCGGAAAAAAAACTTCATTTCAAGTAACCACAGTCCCGAGCCGACCAAGAAATCTTCAAGTGTGATTTTTCGGAGCCGCCGGGACACCCCTGCGGTGTCTCCTCCCTCCGCCTGCCGCCGTCCCACCTCCCCTCCTCGATTATCCCAAAAAAAAAAGCTCAACAAAAACGCTCAAAATCAACCCCCACCCCCGCCTCCGACCGAATTCCTGAATCTGAGAAGAAATGGCGCCTGGTTTTTAATTTGGAATTCTCGCCTCTCTTTTTTTTTTTTTCCTTCGCGCCGCGGTGTGAAAAAAACCCACTGGGCAAAGAAAAAAAAAAAAAACAACAAAAAAACACCAACCAAAAAAAAAAACAACCAACAAAATACCCCAAAAACCTCCTCGCTCCCGGAATTAAAACGAGGCTGAAATTCCGGCGGTTTGTAAATCCCTGAAGGATGCGGAGAACTGAGGAAAAAACCCGGGCGGAAAGTGGAGGGAGGTGGAAGGAGGGGGGGAGGAAAGGAGGGCAAAAACAAAGAGGGGGGAAAATGAAGGAGGAGGAGGAGACACCGCTGCGAAAGGATCCCTGATTTCGGAAAGATTCACCCCGGACACGCTGGCGGGGGCTGGGGGGCTGAGGTATTTGCCGTGGGGGCGCGGGTGGGGCTGCTGCCCGTGGGGGAGGGGGAGAGGGGGAAGTAGCACCAATAAACCCCAAAAAATGGAAAATTAAAAAAAAAAAAAAAGAGAGAGGGGACAAAAGGAGGGAAAAGAAAGGAGCGGGTGGGATGGGGGAGGATGAGCAGGGGGAGCTGCGGGAGCGCGGGGGGCGTGGGGCAGGGCCGGGCGGGGCGCGGGGCTGGTGTGGGGTGTGGTGCTGGGTGCGGTGCTGGGTGCGGTGCTGGGTGCGGTGCTGGACGCGGTGCCGAGCACCAGGTGTGGGGCTGCCACGGTGCAGGATTAGTGCCCGGCCAGGTGGTGCTGGGGGGCTGTGCCACGGGGTCAGGAGTGCTGGGCACCGGCCCCAGCACCATGGGAGCGCCACGGGGCGCACGGCACCTGAGCACCACCGCTGTGCCAGGCGCTTGCTCCGTGCCCAAGTGTCTGTGCCTGGTGTGTCAGCACCGTCCCCAAGCACCACGGTCACACACCACGCCTGAGCACCATCACCGTGTCCAAGCACCGTGTCCAAGCACCACGGTCACGCACCCTGGCTCAGCACCACACCCACACACCACGGCCAAGCGCCGCGTTCAGCCCTCGTGGCTGAGCACTCTGCCCACACACCGTGCCCGTGGCACGTGGCCAAGCGCCGCTGCCCAAGCTCTGAGTCCATGCAGTGAGTCCAAGCACCAAGCAGAGCACCACGTTCTGAGCACCATGTCCATGCACCACGTCTGAGCACCATGTCGGAGCACCGTGTCCATGCACCACGTCCACACCCCCTGGCTGAGCCCCGCGCTCGAGCACCGTGTTCACACGTTGTGGCTGAGCGCCGAGTCCACGCACCAGGTCCGAGCGTGGCGGTCGAGCACCACGACCACGCACACCGCATCTGAGCACCACCATATCCGTGATGTGCGGTCAAGCACCGAGTCCAGGCACCAAGCAGAGCACCATGTCCACACAACATGTCCAAGCACTGTCCCTGAGCACCCCGTCCACGGCGCGTGGCTGATCACCGTGCCCCGAGCGCCACGTCCATGCACCGTGTCCGAGCACCGCGGTCAAGCACCGTGTCCACACATCGTGCCGGAGCACCGCGGCCGAGCACCAGGTTCACACACCGTGGTCAAGCACCGAGTCCATGCACCAAGTCCAAGCACCAAGCAAGAGCACCATGTCCACGCGCCACGTCTGAGCACCGTAACCACGCGTCACGTCCACGGTGCACGGCTGAGCACCGTGCCCGAGCACCATACCCATGCACCGTGTCCATGACGTGGTCAAGCACTGTGCCTGAGCACCGTGTCCATGCACCAAGTCCAAGCACCACAGTAGAGCACCACGTCCGTGCACCGCGTCTGAACACCAGGGTCGAGCACCATGTCCACACATCATGTCCGAGCACCGTGTCCACACATCATGTCCGAGCACCGTGTCCACACATCATGTCCGAGCACCGTGTCCGTGCACCATGTCCATGGATCATGTCCGAGCACGGTGCCTGCCCACCGTGTCCGTGGGGTGTGGACGAGCACCGTGCCCCGAGCACCGTGTCCACACGCCACGTCCAAGCACCTCGGCAGAGCACCGTGCCCGAGCACCACGTCCACGATGTGTGGCTGAGCACTGTGTCCAAGCACCCTGTCTGAGCACCAGGTCCAAGCACCACATCCAAGCACGGTGTCCACGTGCCACGCCTGAGCACCACGCCCCCAATGCATGACTGACCACCATGTCCAAGCACCACGCCCACGGTGTGTGACAAACACTGTGACCCAGCGCCACGTCCCCGGTGTGTGACACCACAACACCCGAGCACCACGTCCGTGGTGCGTGACCAAACACCACGACCGAGCACCACGTCCGCACACCACGACCGAGCACGGCCAAGCACCGAGATCGCCCCCTGACCAAGCCCTGCACGTCTGACCCAACACATCTGAGCACCTCATGCCACCACCACGCCGGCTCCGCAGGGAACGGCTCCACCACGACCCCGGGGCACCTCGGACACGGCAAAAACACCGGTTTGCATCAACCCAACCGGCTCCCGGCACACCTCGAGCTGTCGCTCCGGAAAAGTAAACTTCCTTCTCAACGACATTGCTTTATTTTTTTTTATATCTTGGTTCCTTAGTTTCGTATATACATTAGTAGCACCTCAGCGAGATGGAATCAGGCAGAAGCGTGATACAGTTTGTTAAAACACCATAGCACCGTTTGTATTACAAGATTTCATTTAATAAAAATATGCCTTATAGAGCCCACAAAGCGTACTCCAGTATTAAAAGGAAAAATCAGCAATTGAGGCACCTCAGGGATTCTGGTTTCCTTCTCCTTCCCACGCCTCATCCCGAGAGCATCGGGACGGGGGGACCCGAAACGCACCCTCTGACGGAAGGAGCCGGTCGGGGCTCCCCGTGCCGAGCTCTCCCCGGGGTTTCCACCACGGGTGTTGTTCTAGCACCATTGTGGCCACGACCTGCTGCAAAACGAGGTCCCCACATCTCATTCCGAAGCGATTAAAAACGTCCCCCCCACCCCACCCCACCCCCCGAACTCCGACGGCTCCCCGTGGCTTCGGTGCGGGCGGGACGAGCGCGGCCGCCGGGGCGGGTAAAGGGAAAGATTTTGCTTGGAAACAGCCTCTCAGCAGCAAGGGGTAAAAGAGCTGTGCATAGATTTCGAGTTTTGTGTAGAAGTCTGAAGCGTGCGAATTTTGTAATGACTGAGAGTTGAGGTAGGTTAGACGTTTATGTAGTGTAAAAACGTGAGACTGCAGCAGTTCTCGCTCCCCCCCGACCCGCGGCGCCGGCAGCTCCCGCTCCCCCCGGAGCCAACGGACCGACCCCCCCCTTCCCTGCACCAAAAACACCTCCAAGGAAGCAGGACTTAGACAGGTTACACGGACCATCGCCTTCTCCCAACGCTCCTTCCCCTCCCGACGCTCCAGGCGAAGCTCCAAGGCACCCCCGCTGCGCCAGCCAGAGACAAACCCCCGGCGATGCCGACGGGGCCGGCACCCGAATCCGGCCCTGCATCCGCCGGGTCCCCTCTCCGCCCTCCCAACCACACGGCGGGTCCACCGCTGGAACGGGCGTCCCTAAAATCCGACTTGCCGTCGACTCTTACAATCCTGATATGCTATTGGGTATTTATAAGAAAAGCGGGAATAGCTCGTTGAGTTTCCTTGTCAAATATACGCGACTTTACAGATTACGGTTAAAAAAACGAACAAAAAAAAAAAAAAAATTCATTAATGATGAAGGACGGACAAAGCATGTTAAATATTCTGCCAGTATTTACAGTTCTCCCACGATAATCTTGTTTAAAACATACTGCTTCAAGTTGGGGGGGGGAAGTGGGAGGGAAGGGGAGAGGGAAGAAGGGGAGTTGTTTGCTTTTTTTCTTTTTTTTAAGTTTCGCTTTTTAAATCTAGGTGAAAGTGCTTTTAAAAAAATTCTTTCCCTATGTACAGGTTTTTAAAATCAGACCACGTAAATGTTCAGGCTGTTTTTTTTTTTTTTACCGAGATCCTGCCGATCCGTGTCCCGTGCGCGGGGGGAAGGAGGGTGACAGTAAACACGAGGTGGTTCCCGCACGGTGACGGCGTCGCCGCTGCCTCGCTGGCTCTTCCAAAAGGCACCTCAAAGTGCAAAAGCAACAACCCCGACGCCGGGATGCGATCGGGAATGCTCCCGGGGAGCTCTCCCGCCCCTCCATCCGGGCGCGGCTCCGGCGTCGGGCGGGAAGTCTCGACAGAGATTGTTCCAAAAGCACCACGCGGTTGTCGTCGTCGTCGTCGCTGGGTTGTTGGTTGGGTTGTTGGGGTTGGGTTTGTTTTTTATTTTTGCGGGAAGAACGGTGATCCGTAGGAAGGAGGGATGGCACCCGGGGAGAGTAAAGAGCACCGAGCCCCAGCGGCACCGGGGCCGCCGCGCCCGCTCGCCGGCACCGGCAGGGAAGGTGGACCCGGCGGGGTTTGCCCCAGCCAAGTCTTCGGGATTCGCTCTTCCCGGAGCCGATCGCGCGGAGAAAGTCCCCCGGAGACGGAAAGCACCAGACTTTAGCAACAGTGATGTACAGAGAGCAACACTCGCTATTCACAGTTTGGGGTTGGTTTGTGTTTTTTTTTTTTCCTGTTTTTTTTTCGTTTCTGTTTCTTTGTCTTGTCAGCTCCTTTGGAGATGCCGCCGCCGCTCGCCCCGGGGCTGTCGGCAAAGGAGCCACAAGTCCGAGCCCAAGCGCGGCCCCCCCCGGCAGCGGTGTTCCCAGCCCGGACGTGTCCTGAGGTCTCCAGCGCCGGGAAAGACGCCGGCTCGCTCCGTCCCAGTGGAGCCAATCCCGCCGGAGGAGGAGCCGAGCGAAGACGTGCCATCCCGGGACATCCCACTTGTCTGTGGGCTCCCGTCGCTGTAAGAAAGGGCTCCTCGAGCTGCAAAATAAGTATTTTTATGTCCTTTAGGAATAAAAATAATCGGTCTGTTCAGCGTGTCCGGCTGACGGTAAAGCACATGATCCCGACAGCCTCGGAGCTGCTGCAGGAGTCACCTCTTGCCCTTAAGCTGGTTTGGTGTTCAGGTTGGTTTGGATTTGTGTTCAGGGTGGGTTTTTTTCCACGTTGGCTTCTCTTTCGAAGATCGGCTTCGTCGTTGTCATCGGAGTAAAAAATAAAATAAAATCAAATCCGACAAATAGGCTTTTCCTTGAAGTGGAATTAAAAACCTCTCCTGGCGAAAGGACGCTAGGAAATTCATCTGAGGCTAGATTAAAAAACATGGAGATATAAATAGGAGATTACCTAAAATCATCAAACAGCATCGTTCCTCCTGGGTGTTTCTTTTATTTTACCCAGTTTTGCTTGGTTTGCCAACTCCTCGCCGGGCGCAGCTCTCTGACGGCGCGCGCCCGCGCCGGCTCCACACGTCGGGTTCGCTTCCTATGGGTTGGATGTTTTTTTTGTTTTTTTGTGGTGTGGTTGTTGTGTTTTGCTTCGCTTTTGTCTCTTTATTTTTTTTTTTTATTTTTTTCTTCTCCCCCACGCCCGAGGAGAAAGCACCACGAAGCAACGCCGGGCACCGGCGCTGCCGAGGGTTGAGGTAAGATGGGGCCGCGGCGGTCGCGCCCGTCTCAGATCCAGCGGCTGTAGGGGCCCGTCACCTTGGTGTAGGCGTAGGAGGACACAGTGATGGCGGAGTTGGTGGGGATGGCCACCGCCTGCCGCGTGGGGACCGAGTCCCTCCTCTCCTTGCTGGGCGCCTCGGTCGCCAACGCGCCGCCCCACTTGCGCTTCTTGGCGAAGGCTTTGGCGTCTGGCGGCAGACCCAGGCGCGCTGCCTCCTCCTGCCGGGCCCGCGCCCGCTCCGCCAGCTGCTTCATCTTGGCCTCCCACAGCGCCAGGCCGTGGTTGGGCTGGTTCAAGTTCTTGTGTTGGTAGAAGACGAGGGAGATGCGGGTGGGGTGGCAGCGGTTGGGTTTCTTCAGCGGGGTGGTGGCGTGGAGCTCGCGGCGGGCACACTCAATGAGGATGGAGCCGTGGGCGGGCGCCACGGCCACGCCGCCGATGTTCTCGTCCAGGAAGTTGTGCTCGCTGTCCGACCACTCCTCCTCCTCTTCCTCCTCCTCCTCCTCCTCCTCTTCCTCCTCCTCCTTCACCGCCTTCTCCGGTAGATCCTCCTCCAGGCCAAAGGGGTCCCATGGCTTGTCCTGGCGGGGCCCTGCCAACCCCTTCTCGCCCAACGCCGCCTCCCACGGCTTCTCCGGCAGCCCCGGGCTGGGTGCCGGCGTCCTGCGCTCCTCCACCTTCACAGAGCCCCACGGCTCCTCGGGAAGCTGGGCAGCCCCGGCAGAGCCGAGCCAAAGCCCAGCGAGCCCAGCAGGCTGGAGGTGCCTGTGCCGGCCAGCGCCGCCTCCCCGAGCTTGCAGGGGCTCCACGGCTTCGGCAGCAATCCTCCCGACCCGCGCGCCGGCGCTGCCGCCGGTTCTCCCGCCGCCAGGACGTTGGGCCACTGCTTCTCTGGTGGCGGCAGGCGCGCGGCGGCGTCGAAGGCGCTCAGCTTCTTCCGCCCGCCTGCGCCCGGCGCCAGCGCAGCCCACGAGCCCTCGGCCGTGTTAGTCCTTTCGGGGGAAGACACGCCCTGCGGCGCCTTGAAGGGGCTCCAGCGCTGCTCCGGCGCCGCGCCGTGTGTGGGGATGGCCGGCAGCGTCAGGCCGGCACCAGGCACGGCTGCTGCGCCAGGAAGGGGCTCGATGGTGGGTGGAGGGTCCGGAGGTTCCTGCTTGATGGGGCGGTTGCCGAAACAGTTCTGTGCAAAGGACGGTGCCTCCTCCGAGCCCGGGTTAGTCCTGTGCGCCCCGGCGGCCGCCGCTTTCTGCTGGCTGGCGTAGCGGTTGGCCCGCTCGTAGGTGCGCTGGTGGTGGTTCTTGCTCCGCACGCCGTGCGGGACGGGCTCGGGGAAGGTGGTGTTCCCGTAGGTGTGGTTGAGGTTCTCCTGCAGCACCGACACGTCGGGCTTCTTCTCGTAGCCGTTGCTCACCCAGCTGCTCCCGCCCCGCTGGGCGCCCCGTAGTTGAGGAACTGCGAGGGGAACACGTGGTTGCTGGAAAAGCCGTAATACCCGAAGGAGGGAAGCGCGAACTTGGAGTGAAACCCGTTCACGGAAGGCAGATTGGGCTGTGCATAGTAGGAATGGTAAGAGTAAACACTGTTCATGCTGTAGGGGTCGGAGGGCCGGCAGCTGCCCAGCACCGAGTAGCTCTCCACCACCGCGTTGCCGTTGTACTTGAAGGCGTTGTAATGGCTCTGGGGTTCCACCTTGATGGAAGGTTTCAGCGGTTGCGGGGGGATCCCGCTTTTCAAGGCCATACCTGCGGGACAGCACACACAGCCCCTGTGACCCGCCAGCCGTGGGAGCCACCGGAGGGGAGCGATGACCCTGAAACACTCGGCCAGGCTCGGGAATCCCACGGAGCACAGAGGTTGGCATGGGATTCACACCCGCGCTGTAGAGAGAGCTCCCACCGCTCCACGGCACAGGGAAAAACCCAGGTGACGTGGAAAAGCCATCCATGCCATCCGGATAGGTAGGACAACTGGGGACTGGGTGGCTCAGAAAGGAGCATCTCAAATTGCAGGGGAGAGCACCCCAAAAACCCCACCAGGCTCCTCCTCAACACACCAGCCCATCCAACCATATCCCAATCCCCCCACACACTTCCCAGTCAGCTTGGGGGTGGCAGGACCTCACCTGTGCCCCCGTTACCTGCGTTTGGCTGGAGCGTGGGGAGCTCCAGCGCCTCCTGCTTGATCTTCTCTGGCGTCATCAGCTTCTCCTTCTGCAACTTCTTCTTCTCCGCGGCGGCTTTCCTGGCCTCCAGCTGCCTCTGCCGGCAGGACTTGGCGGGCTCGGGCAGCTTGCGGACCTCGCGGGGGAAGGACGTGAGCACCTGGATGGCCCCGCTGCCCACCTTGGCGTTTTGGTTCTCCTCACTGCCGAACTCATCCGTACTGGACATCTTGTAGAGGGGCAGGACGTGCAGCTGCTCGTCCTCGGGGATTTTGCCCACCACACGATTGTCTTCCTTGGTCAGCGTGCAGACCTGGGGGGGAGGGGCAGGTGCTGTCAGCGGGGTGCTGAGGGGTGTGGTCTGTGCTGGACAGGCCAAACCTCCTCCTTATCCCTCAATCAGCATGAATCCACACCAGCCTGGCATCCCCTCTGCTCTGGTCCCCAGCTGGCATATGGAAACCTCCCGTGGGTTGGGCAAAAGCGAACACTGGTCCCCTGTTAGCACCTGAGTCTGGTTGGGGTGGCTTCAGCACCCACTGACCTGAGGTGTCATTTGAGGTGTCACACCTCAAGGACCTGGAGCCAGGCAGGGAGGACAGAATATGCTGAGCTGGAAGCAACCCATAAGGATCATGAAGTTCAATTCAGCCCTGCACAGGGCACCCCCAAAATCCCACTATGTGCCTGAGAGCATTGTCCAAACACTCCTTGAACTCCATCAGGCTTGGCACTGTGACCACTGCCCTGGGGTAGGACAACTGGGGACCCAGTGGCTCAGAAAGGAGCACCCCAAACTGGGGTGGGAGCACCCCAAACCTCCCCCCTGGGTGCCTGCTTACCACCGTGCAGCCGTTGTAGAGGTTGTGCTGGTCCTTGTGAGCGTGGGCACAGAAGTCCATACACGCCGTCACCCCCGAGAACGGCCTCCCCTCCTTCAGGCCCAGCCGGCAGTCGATCGCTACGTCCTCGTTGGTGACCTGGCGGAAGGAGGAGAGGGCTCTGGTTAGCCAAAATCTCCCAAACACCACCAGCTGGCACCCATTCCTGCTGCCAGGGGGACAAGGGGGGTCACAGTACCTGGTTTTGGTAGGCTTGTGGCGCCAGCCTCTTGTAAAGCGGGGCAACCTCGGTGGCCAAGTCCTGAAAGCTTCTCCGGAGCAGCTCTTCCTGTGGCAGGGAAAGCAGGAGGATGTCACCCAGGAGTTTTGGGATGGACTCAGGGACAGAGCTCATAGACACCACACAGCACCCAACCTTTCCCACTACATCCAGCACAAAGCACGTGGTTTAAATTCCTGGTGAGAATCTGGCTGTTCAACCTCCAACCTCTGCACCCGTCGTGCTTTCGCTCACTCAACCCATCAGCCCTTTGGCTTCTTCCTTGGAGCTTCTACAGGGACCCCATTTGTGCCTCATTTCTTTTCCTCACATCTCCCTAATCCATCCAAAATTCTGCAAGGAACCCTGTCTTCAGGCTTCACAGGGAATCCTACTTTCAGGCTGCAAAACCTGGAGCTGAAGGAGGCCCAAACCCACCCCACACCCCGTGCCATCCCGCTCCAGCCCCCTCACCCACCTCTTTGGGATTGTCTCCCACCAGCCTGAACTTGCGGGGCGTTTTGCTCCGGGCGTATTTGCAGCCGTTGAAGTACATGCTCCACGAGCAGCCGAAGGAGAAGGAAGCACCACAGGTGTTGGGGTCTTTGCCTTGGCAGGCACAGGTCCGGCTGGGAGGGAGGGACACCACGAGGAACATCAGCCACCAGCTGGGTGACAGCAGCTCTGGGAAGAGCAGACACCCCATACCCCATTCCCACCCCATCCTCTCCTGTCCTGTCCCATTTAATTAATCATCACCCATATAAATTAATTATAAATGGTGTGTTAATCTTAAACCACTCGTAGTATTTAGCAAAGTTGTTGTGAGTTGCTTTTGTGGGAACACAGCTTAGGAAAATTGGTGATACTGATAGTTCTGATAAACTAACTCTGATGTGTTTCAATCAGCTAAAGCCACAAATATGGATTGCTGAAGCTGGACATGTGGAATGCAGAATTTAAGCACCACAAGGACATTTTGCAGAGAGCAGAAGATAAAGAAGAGACTAACAAAGGCTCAGTATGTGTGTTGGAAAGTCCCTGCCAGAGGAGAAAGATACTAAAAGGAGTAAAAATATGGACTAATTAGCACAAAAAGTAAGAAATCAATAACCAAAAGAGAAAGCTAATTAATGAAAGAGAATGATGTAATTTAGAACCAATGAACATTCATTTCATTGTTTGCTAAAAATGTATAAACAGGTGAAAAAGTTCTGAATCGGTGCCTGTGTGGAGGCCAGAGGACAAGAGGAAATGGCCTCAAGTTGTGCCAGGGGAGGGTTTAGATTGAATTCCTTCACTGAGAGGGTGGTCATGCCTTGGAATGGGTTGCCCAGGGAGGTGGTGGAGTCCCTACCCCTGGAAGTATTCAGAAAACGTGTGGATGTGGCACTTAGAGACACTTGGTCAGTGCTGAACACGGCGGTGGTGCTGGTTGATGGTTGGACTTGATGATCTTGATGATCTTTTCCAACCTTAATGATCCTGAGATTCTGAAACCTCCTGGCCAAGAACAAAGCCCTGCCTTGCTCCCTAACACTGAAGTCCCAATGATCTGGGGGGGCTCTGGCAGCAGTGGCACTTACTCGTCGTTGAGGCCGCAGCGGCGGCTCGTGGGGTTGCCATACTTGGTGAGGGTGTCGGTGAGCTCCTGGTACAGGGTGTCCCCCAGGGTCCTGGGGATGCCCTCCCAGGCCAGGATGAGGATGATGATGACGGCGTTCTGGCAGTGGTGCCCGGCCCGGTGCCGCACCAGGCACAGCAGCTTCTCCTCCTGGTTGTGTCTGCGGATCACCTGCAAAACAGGGGGGTCGATTCAGCCAACAGCGCTCCAGAAACACCTCCTGGGATGGGGGAACTCAAAAGTGGGTCCTGGATTCTTTCTCTGGGGATATGAGGGTCCCACTGTTGTGTTCCCCTCCATGGGCTTTGGGGTGGGAATCCCCATAGAGCTTTCCTGGGGGCAGACACAGCTCTTGCCTCCTCCTTGCCAGCCATGGAGTGACCATCCCACCCTGCCCACTGCACACACTGCTGGAGGGGGATCTCCTCGTGCCCAGGAAGGGGGGCAGGAGCACTGGGGGGCTCCAAGGGGGGATGGGAGTGGGGCACAGGCACTCACCCACTTGGCGATGGGGCAGCCCCGGGAGCTCTTGCCCTCCTTCCCGGTGTAGATGACCTTCTCGATGCGGATGGCCTTGCCCTTCTCACCGTACCTGCCAGGAACAGCCATCAGCCCCATTCGCCCACCCCCACACTCAGGAGACCCCCCTCCCATCACCCTCATGGGCCCCTCAGAAGCCCCCATTCACAGGACCTCACTTGCCCTCAGGAGACCTCACTTACCCTGTCAGGACCCCACAGGACCCCACTCGCCCTTGCAGGACCCTGGTCACCCTCACAAGCCCCCACCTGCCCTTGTAGGGTCCCTCACAGACCCTCACAGGACCCCTTAGGAGCCCCAGTTTTCCCTCATGGGTTCCACTCACCCTCACAAGACCCCACTCATCCTCAGGAGCCCCTTCATGGGTCTCCATTCACCCCACAAGCCCATACTCACCCTCATGGGTCCCCACTCATTCTCCCTCACAGGGTCCCACTCATGACCTCAGCCCCCTCACACTCACGGGACCCCTCACTCTCTCAAGCCTCCACTCCCACTGACAGGTCCCCACAGACCCCCACTCTCCCTCACGGCCCCCTGCCCTCTCAGCCCCCCAGGGGTGGGATGGTTAAAGGTCCTCACCGCTCCTCCATGAGCTCCCTGATGGAGGCCACGGTGGGCCCCGAGCCCAGGTGGGTGTAATACGGCCCCTCGTCCTTCTCCACGATTTGCTCTGAAGACACAGGATGGGGGAGACAGAGATTTTGGGGTTTGCACCTCCACCAGCTGCTCCAAAGGATTCCAAACCCCCAAATTCCCTCCAACCAAGCACACCAAAACTCAAGGGTTCATTCTCCCCGTCAGAGCATCAGGGAAGGGGTTCATTAAGCAGCCTGGCAGCTCTTCATCATTTTCTGCTCTGGAAGATGCTCCCAGCATTAAAATGCCACTGGAAAACTTGGAAATGGGTGATCAAACCCATCCCTGTTGGCTCCCTTTGGGGACTGAAAAACCTCCCTGAGCAGCCACAGCCCTTCCAAGCACGCCAGCAGTGACCACAACTCCATCCTGGCTCAGGGGATTCACTCCAGCCACTCCAGCTCTGGATTTGGATTCCAAATTCGATTGGACTCCAATCTGAGATTGATTCCAACCCCCTTCCTCATCCCAGCCCCTGCTCATCACCTGGAGCACCCCTCTGGTCCCACTCACAGGGACCAGCCTGGCTGCAGGCTGCCAAAACCATCACGGGATGATCTGGGGGCTGGAAACTGTTGGTTTGGGGTTGTTCATGGGGTGATTCAAGTTGACTGTGCAAGGAAGGAGCTGCAGTGCCAGGAAGAGGTGGGAGGATGCTGGGACTGTGGAGAAGGATGCTGGGACTGTGGGAGAAGGATACTGGGGCTCTGGGAGAAAGATGCTGGGGTTTTGGGAGAGGGATACCTGGGCTACATGAGGATTCTGGGGCTACAGGAGAAGGATAATGGGGCTATGGGAGAATCATAGAATCAAAAATCAACCAGGTTGGAAAAGACCTCCGAGATCACCAAGTCCAACCCTTGATCCAACACCGCCGTGGTTACTGGACCATGGCAAGAAGGGTGACCAAAATACAGGAGAAGGATGCTGGGGCTGTGGGAGGACACTGGGGCTACAGCCCTGCAATCAGCACCTCCCTCACAACAACAGCCCCCTCAGGGCTTTCAGGGCAGGAAGGTGCCATGCGGGAAGTACTGGATGCTCCAGGCAGGCACAAGGGTGGATCCACCGGGATGCTCCGACACCTCCGGGTGGGACGCATCCGGCACCACAGCAGGGTCTGATCTGTGCTTCCACCCCTCTGCTCTCACCACCCTGATTTTCATTCCCATCATGTGCAGCTGGCTGGGAGCCAGGCCGAGGAGAAAGCCGGGCTCAGCTGGGATGCAGCTGTCCAGACAGGGATCAATACGGGACGCGAGGAGAAGGCTGATTTCATTCCAGCCTCCAACAGCACCCAATAAAGCACCGAGCCCCGCTCGTCCTGAACTGCTTCTCCCACAGCTTTTCCTTGGGAAAACAGAGAGGTGGCAGCAGGGGAATCCCCCCCTCTCCCAGCCCCTTAAACCATGCTGGAAAAGGAAAATCAACTCCAATCTTTTCCTGGAAAACTCCAAGATCGGTTGGAGCGGCTCCAGAAAAGCTTTTCCTTTGCTCCGTGACTTTTGGGCTGATTCCTGCTGCCATTTACAGGCAAATAAATAAATAATCATCAGGTTCACTAATAAAGTGCAGCTTGGTCTTGGCCCGAGGCCACCTCTCCCAGCAGTAGGGGGGTCGTTTTTCCAGCTGGATGCTCCAAATCCTCACCCTGCTCCTCCCAGCTCTGGTATAAACACTGGGGAGGGAAAAATCCAGCTCTCCGCACTTGGATGAAGGTGGACTGAAAGGACCAGGTGGGAATTCTCTAGGGCTTGCTGCAAAGCATTTCTCCAGGGATAAGCACACATGAAAAGTCAAAGTTTGGGTTACTCTGAGTACCCCAAACCAGCTAATTTGGCTGAAAATACCCTAAAGAACCAGGGTTTTAGGTGGATTTTGGTACTGGGACAACCATGGACTCGTGGGATTCAACTGAGTGGCTGAAATAAAACACAAGAGCCCTTTGGTTTTGCTGCTCATCCAACCCCCTCCAGCACAGCCTGTGGTGTCGGTGCCACCCCCGTGGTGACACGGTGGATGCTCAGCATTTCCAATGAAAATAACAGGCAAGAACAGAAAGCAGCAGCAGCTCCACAGCACCAGGGTTTCACCACCTGAGTGCTGCATCTCAAGTGCTGTGCCCAGCTCTGGGCCCTCGGTTTGGGGAGGATGTTGAGGGGCTGCAGCGTGTCCAGAGAAGGGCAACGAGGCTGGGGAAGGGGCTGGAGCACAAGTGCTGGGAGGAGCAGCTGAGGGAGCTGGGGGGGCTCAGCCTGGACAGGAGGAGGCTCAGGGGGGACCTTCTCACTCTCTGCAACTCCCTGACAGGAGGGGGAGCCGGCAGGGGGGGTCGGGCTCTGCTCCCAGGAACCAGCAGCAGGACAAGAGGGCACAGCCTTGAGCTGCCCCAGGGTAGGTTTAGGTTGGACATTGGGAAGAAGTTCTTCCCAGAGAGAGTGATCAGAAACTGGAAGGGGCTGCCCAGGGAGGGGGTGGAGTCCCCGTCCCTGGAGGGGTTTGAGCAGAGCCTGGATGTGGCATCAGTGCCATGGGCTGGGTGACAAGGTGGGGTTGGGTCACAGGTTGGCCTCGATGATCCCAGAGGTCTTTTCCAACCTAACTGACTCTGTGATTCTGTGATTCCCCCCAAAAATCAAGTGCTTTACTGGTGCCATGGCATCATTCTGTTCTATATCCAGGGCAATCCTGGAAAAATAAACTCCTGGAAATGCCACCCTGGTAACCCCTTGGCACAGCCGCTCACTCACCAACGCAGTCACAGGTGGGGAATTCTGCTTGTGCCCTCTTGGCTGGGGTGTCCAGGAGGCTTTTGGTCGGCGTGTCCAGGTACTTCAGCGGAGACTCCAAAAAGCCGCTCAGGGTGGGTGTCAGCGGCACCTCGTCCTTGGTGGGCGTCCTGTCAGCGTCATCCGCGTCCGGGTTTTGGCTTTCCTCGGAGTAAAAACACGTGGTGGACACCACGGTGATAGCACCAGAAGATTCGATTTTGATCTGTTTGGGGGAGCGGGCGGCGAAGGGGGGCTCTGTCAGCAGAGCCTTCCCCGGAGACAACGCGCAGCTCTTGAGGCCGGGTTGGGGAGCGCCGCTCGGGGCCGGGGCGGCGGCGGCGCTTTGGGGGGACCCTTGCGGGGCTGGTGCTGGTCCCCCTGGCTCCTCGGCAGCCCCGGGGGCGAGCGGGGCGGGCGTCTCTGGGGGCGGCAGGTTGAAGTTCTCCCCGAATTCGGCTTCAAATTGTCGGATGAGCTCTTCCAACTTGTCATCCACCATGATGGGAGCCGAGGTGGCCGGCGCGGGGGCAGCCGGCGCTTCCTCCGAGCCCGCCGGCGCCGAGTGAATTTGGGGGCCCCCCCCGGGGGCACCCCTTTCCTGAGAGTCGGGAGCCGGGGGGACGCCGCCGGGGGGGTTGGGTGGCGGGGGGCATGCGGCGGGCTGGGGTAGTGCAAGAGGCTGGTGCGGGAAGGCCGATGGCGGCGGCGGCGGGTCCGTTTGCATCTCCTCGGCGGGGGGTTCGGCGGGGGTTCGGCGGGCGCCCGAAACCCCTCCAGGCTGATCTGCCAGAGGGGTGGGAAGAGCGGCTGCGAGTCCTTCTGCTTCGCCTTCTTGATCTGCACTTGCTTGCGGAGAGGTTTGGCCGGGGGAGGCTTCTCGGGCGGCATTTTCTTCTTCTTCTCTTTGGGCTGCTTTTCGAAGGGTTTGGGGGGCGCGGCCGGGGTGCCGGGGGCCCACCATCCTCCCGGCCGGTCCGGGGGAGCTGCCGCCGCCAGGCTTTGCTCGAGGAAGAGGCTGCGCTTGTGGTGGAGATGCTGCTGCAGGACCAGCTGCGTCTTCTTGTGCAGGTCAGGCTCCGGTGGCACCGGTGGCACCGGGGGGCCACCCGGTGCCTCCTTGCTGGCCGCTCGCTCGGGGGGCTCTGTTTTGGGGGCCGTCACTTTGCCGGGGGTCGCTTCGGGTCTCTTGAAAGCCGCCTTGATGTAGTCATCGGCGTTGCCCAGCAGCTGCTCCAGCTCTGCCATGGGGTCTCCAGCCCCCGCCGCCCCCTCGGCCTCCAGCCCCCACGGTGCTGAGAAGTTGCCCCGGGGAGGTGCCGCGCCGAAAAATGGCTCAGGTGCCGCCCCCGGCTCGGGAGGGTAGCGGGGCTCGTCCCCTCGCTGCCACGCGGCCCCCGGCGGGGCGAGGGGCCCGGGCCGAAGGGAGTGGCGGGGGCGGCGGGGGTGGCGGCGGCGGGGCTGCCCATCGCCCGCGGGCTGGGGCAGGGCGGCCGAGAGCTGAGTGAGGGCCTCGATGGCGATGGCGGTCTGCAGGCTGATGTTCTTCTCCTTGGCGATGGTCAGCGCGCTCTGGGAAAAGGGGAGGCCGTCGGGCGGGCACGGTTCGGCGGCCTCAGGCACCGGCTGGGGGTCGATAGCACCTTCCTGTGGGGTGGGAGGGGGGATGGCAGCGGCGCGGGGCCGCGGGGATGCCAGTTCTTCACCCAGAGCCGTCTTGATCTTCTGCTCCAGCCATTCCAGGTAGTCGGGGCACTCGGGGCCGTCGCAGTTGCAGTTGGGGGGCTTCACGCCGTGCTTGGCCAGCGCCAGGGCGGCCTTGAGGGCGTGCAGGTCCTCGCCCCTGGGCACGCCGTCCGCCGCGCCCAGCCCGCCCCGGCTCATCTCCGAGTCGAACTTCTCATACAGCAGTGACGGCGAGCCCGGTGGCGGGAGCCGGTAGGACGAGACGGCTTCGGCCACCGCCGAGAAGGCCACCAGGTTCCGGACGTCTTCCAGGTGGGCTTTGCCGGCGGTGGGTGGTTGGCCCGGTGACCACCCGCTGGGCTCCATCAGCACGGTGCCCCCCGGCTCCGGCCGGCCCCCATTCACCAGGCTGAGCCCGCTGCCCTCATTCAGCCGCCTTTCTTCCACATAATTAATTGGCCCTTCTTCCATTTGGCTTCTGCTGGGTCCATCAACCGCGTCACCCGCCGAACCTGTCTGCGAGGAGGGACAGAGGAGAGACGTGAATTCCCCCTCCGTGACCCACGTGCCATCACCCCCCAGCCTATTTTCTCTCTCTTTTTCCTTCAGTCTCCTGTTCCCCATCTCTTTTTCGGACCCGGGGGATGAAGAGGCAGATGAGCCACGTGAAAAACTAATCGCTGGGGGCAAAGCCACGCGGGGTTTGCCCGGCTGAGTAAGGACCAGCTCGGCTCGGAAGGCGCCCGCTTAACACCCACGTCCCCACCCCGCCACCCACTTTCGAAATTGCTCACGGGGCTGTTCGGGATTTCCATCGCCATCCTGGCTCCGGTGACACAGTTTGCACTGGTGAAGGAAGCGGCACGGGGAGGGAGAGGGGGGTTTTTTTGGCCCCGTGCCCTGTGCAAACATCCTGGCTGGGAGCAGCCGGCCTTTGCCGGGGGCTGCGGCACGGCAGGAAGCTGCCAGAGTTGGCTACGCCAGTGCCAGGGGCTGCTTTCACCTCGAATAACCCGGTGTCTGTATCAACACGGCCGGCCAGGGTCCCCCAGCAGCGCCGGCAGCACCGGCAGCACCGGCCACGTGCCACGGACAGACCAAACCCAGCCATCCACGCCGGGCACCCAGGGAGCACACCCTGGTTAAGACCTTCCCAGGGGTTCTGCCAGGGATGGGGGGTGTTTCTGTGCCCTGTGACTCCTTCCCTGCTCGGCAGAGGGGATTTCGGTGCTCCAGCAGCCGGGCGTGCCAGGCGCTGGCAGCGCGTGGAGAGCCCTTTGCCGATAACCAGGGGGAGCTTCCGGCAGGCTAAAAATACACCCCGGTCCGCTGGAAAAACCATGCCAAAGCAAGCAAGGGCTGTGGGCAGAGCTTCCTGCCGCTGGATGGGGCCAGCACCGGCTCGTGGGAAGGAGCCGCGGTTCAGATTCGGAGAGGAGACCCTGAGTTACAAGTCACAGCTCCGAGTTACAAGTTAGAGCTCCGAGTTACAAGAGTTACAACTCACAGCTCGGAGTAAGGGCTGGTGTCCAAGCCAGTTGTCCCCGTGGGGCTGTTGGTGTCGGGGCCGTGTTTAACCCCTCAACCACCGGCCCCACCGCGTCCTTCGCCTTCCCCTTCGTGGCGAGACTGTGAGTAGAGTCACGCGCAGATCCCACACCTGAGATAAGCACGCTGCTGACTCCGGCAAAACCCCAGCAAAAACCTTGGAGGAGCCACTCCCAGCACGATTCTATCCCCAAAAACCCCTCCTCCCCACGGATCAAGGGTGAAAACCCCCGGGGGGGGCGCAGCACAAACCACGGCGGCCCCGCTCTGGCACGGGGCTCACCCAGGTGCTGCCGTGGGTTTGGAGGGGCCGCGCTGCCCTCGCAGCATCCCCGGGAGCCGCGGGCGATGGGACCGGTCCGGCAGGTCTGGGGAGAAAGTGCTTCACCCCCGACCGAGCACCCGGGCAGGGTGGGGACATCACAACACGCCTCCGCTCTACTCTGCAAAGCACGGCAGAAACAACCTCGCCCGTCCTTCCTACGCCGTCATCTTCCTCCTCCTCCCGCCCAGCCAAAGGGGATTTTCCCAAGCGGCGCATTGGAAATTAACACCACGAGTCCTCTCCGAGAGCGCGGGGGGGGACGTGCCGGGGCCCCCAAGTGTCACAGCGCTGACGCCACCCCGGGGAAAAGATGACAAACCTGTTTGGCTCAGGGTGGGAGCGGCCGCCGGTCCCCCCCGAGGGTCTTCCCGGGGGGAAGAACCTGCTGGGGAAGGGCAGGGGAAGCCCCCAAAAAACAGCCGCGGGGCCAGGGAGGCGCCCTGGGCTGCTCCATCCCATAAACCAGGTTATGGATCCGGGCTGGGGATGCAGGAAAATAGTTCACCGTGTGAATCCAAGGCAGGACTGAGCATTCCCAGATGCTCCTAAAGGGTTAATCCGAAAGCCACAACCATCCACAAATCAGTGGAGGAAAAAAAAACACCATATATATAGATATATAAATATATAAAACGTAATTATTTTTTCATGGTTCTCTCATCCAGCTCCTTTTGTTCCCGGCCCCGTGGGTTGGGAGATGGAAAGACCTCGCGGCTTCCCCCCGAAAATCGATCCCCATCCCCATGCACTCCACAGAAATCCCCCCCATCACTGCCATGGGCACCTATTTGACCCCTTTTCCCTGGAAAAAGTGCTGCCTGCCCAAACCTCCTCCCATTCAGCCCGGGAAAGGCTAAAAGCTGGGGAGGGGGCTGGGGGGAATAAATTAAAATAAAGATAAAACCAAGCACTTTAGTTTGGATTAATTCAGCTGCACGACCCCTTCTATAAAAAGGGGGGAAATCCCCTTGAGGACGAAAACACTTATTTTTTTTATTTCAACCTATTTTTCCCTTTTTTTTTTTTTTTTCCATTTTCCCCCGCTTTAAATGCCTCAAACAGAGGGAAGGAAGGGAAGGAAAAAGGAAAAAAAAAAAAAAAAAACCCAACCACACAAGCAGAGCCCGGCTTGGAGGGTTTCCAGCCTGGGCTGCGCTCCCTGGGAATAGTCGGGAGCCGCGTGTAGGGGAGGCGGCGGGGGCGCGGGGCCGGTGCGGGGCCGGCGCTGCCCGGGCGGCACTTCACTTACGTGTGCGGGGCGGGAGGCGACGGCGCTGCGGGCCCGGCCGGGGAGCAAAGAGGGCCCGCAGCGGGTTTGTTGGAGCCGCAGCCGCCCCGGCCCTCCCCGCCCCCTGCCAAGGCAGCTGGAGGAGCCATTAGTGCCGGCGCGGCGCGCACGTAGGGATGGATGGAGGGATGCGGGGATGCGGCCATGGAGGGAGCGAGGGACGGACCGATGGACGGGCGGTGCGGGGCCCGCCTGCACCCGGCCCCCGGAACAGCCCCACGGGGGTGCGGGGGCACCCCGAGCCCAGAGTCGGCGGGGAGGGACCAACACGGCTCCAGCTGCTACAGCTGGGAATGGTGGCCCTATAGATCCCTCTGCCCTATAGAACCCACTACCCTACAGATCCCTCTGCCCTATAGAACCCACTGCCCTATAGATCCCTCTGCCCCATAGATCCCTCTGCCTTATAGAACCCACTGCCCTATAGAACCTGATGCCCTATAGAACCCACTACCCTATAGATCCCTCTGCCCTATAGAACCCACTGCCCTATAGAACCTGATGCCCTATAGATCCCTCTGCCCCATAGATCCCTCTGCCCTATAGATCCCACTGCCCTATAGATCCCACTGCCCTATAGATCCCTCTGCCCTATAGAACCCACTGCCCTACAGATCCCTCTGCCCTATAGATCCCTCTGCCCTATAGATCCTGCTACCCTACAGATTCCACTGCCCTACAGAACCCACTGCTCCACTGCCCCATAGATCCTGCTCCCCTATAGATCCCACTGCCCTATGGATCCTGCAGCCCTATGGATCCCACTGCCCTGTACATGCCATTGCCCTACAGGTCCTGCTCCCCTATAGATCCTGCAGCCCCACAGATCCCACTCCTCTACAGATCTGACTGTCATATAGATCCCACTGCCTATAGATCCAGTGACCCAGATATCCAGCAATCTGTATATTCAGCAGTCTTATATATCCAGTAACTATATATATATATCCAGCAACCCTATACACCAAAAACCTGTATATCCAGCAACCTTATATATCCAGCAGCCCTATATAATCAGCAATCTTGTACATCCAGCAACCTGCATATCCAGTAATCCTCTACATCCAGCCACAAATAATATTCATCAGTTTATATATTCAGCACCTTATATGCTCCACAATCCCATATATCCAGCAGACCTATAATCCAGCAACCCTAAGCACTCAGTAGCCCTAAATATCCAAGTTCTATACACCAAATCATGGGACCTATACATCCAACAACCCTATATGGCCAGCAGTCAATATATCCAGCAACTCTACACATACAGCAACCCCATCCATCCAGCAGCCCTATACATCCAGGATTCCTATATAATCACCAGTCTTATACACCAAGCAACCTGCACATCCAGTGACCCGATATATCCAGCAACTCCTTTCATCCAGCAACACATATATCCCACAGCCCCATATATCCAGCACCCCTAAACACTCAGCAACCCTGAATTCCTGAGTCCTATATATCCAGCAACCTATACAACCCACAGGCCTATATGGCCAGGAACCTGAACATCTCCCAGTTCTCTATATCCAAATCTCAAAGCAGCCTCAAATCCCGACCCAAAAACCACAGGATGAGCTGATCCCACAGGGATATCCATCCATCCATCCATCCATCCATCCATCCATCCATCCATCCATCCATCCATCCATCCATCTATCCATCCATCCTTCCAACAGCCCAAGTTGTTCCAAACCCTCTTTCCCCTCCTTATTTTTCCTTTTCCTCCCTCTTTTTCAAACTCTTCCTTTCCACCTCCCTTTCTGGGCTGTATGAAACCCAAACTAAACCCCACACAGAGTCGGGCTTAAACCCTTCACCCTCCCAAAACACGAATTCCCTCCACCAGGACCGTGAAAATTCCCCAAATTAATATGTTGGAGATTTACTAAACCCCTTGTCCAGAGCTGCAGAGGACGGATGAACTCAGCGCACACCAAGCGGCTCGGAAAACGCCGCCGGAAAAAAAAACCGCTGGATTTGATTTCATGTGCGGAATTCGGGAGCCGAGGGAAGGCGGGTGGGAATGCCAAGGTGTTCCTGGTGGCATTGGAGGGGTCACAGGGCACCGTGTGCCGGGGCTGCAGCGAGGGCACGGCCGGGAGCTCCTGAGGTCAGCAGGAGCCACTGCCAGTGCCGGCACGGGCGGCCAAGAGCTCCCTTGGCTGCCGGCCCCGCTCCGGTGGAGCCCGGCCAGCCCCGGCATCCCACTGCGGTTTCCCTCCTCTGGCAACAACCCCGGGGGATCCTCCGCCCGGATGGTGGGATGGGGGGCACCGTGGGGGAATCCCGGAGAATCCCAGAGAATCCCAGAGCATCCCGAGGCCCTACAACAACCACCACCCACCCAGC